TCTGTTTGCTGTACAAATGCCTTTAATAAGATGAAATCCCAGTGCTGATTCTTTGTGGTATTCCCCATGTGATCAGGGTTTGTTTATAAAATCTTTGCCTAAACTTATGTCTTAAGAATTCTACCTATTCTTTCTTTAAGCAGATTTAGTGTTATTGTTTTAATATTTAGATCTTTGATCCATTTTGGTTTTAGTTTAGTTCCTGATGAGAGAGATGGATCTAGTTTCAGTCTTCAGCATGTGGAAAGTCTGTTTCTTCATTACCATTTATTAAAGAGGCTACCTTTTTTCCAGTGAAAGAATTTGGTGCCTTTGTCAAGCATAAAGTGGCTGAATATATTTGGAGTTGTTTCTGCATCTTCTAGTCTGTTCTCTTAATCTTTGGAACTTTTTTGGCTAGCACCATGTTGTTTTTATCATGGTAGCTTTGTAATACAATTTCAAGCCCAAGATTGGGATGACCCTGCCTTATCTTTGTTACCTTTCTTTTACTATTCTATGTCTCTTCTGTTTCCAATGAACTTTAGGATTTTTTTTGACTCTATGAGGCATGCTATTGTATTTTGATTGAGACTGCATTAAATCACTATAACAATTTTGGAAGTATGAATATTTTCACTACATTAGTTCTTCCTACCCAAGAACTAGGACTATCTTTCCATTTTCTGATATCTTCTTTAAAGTCCTTCAGAGCACTATAAATTTCAATGTAAAGTTCTTCAATTTCTTGCTAGATTGGTTCGTAAGTATTTCATTTTTTAAATGCTACTGTGAAAGTTATTGTTTCCCTAATTTCTCTCTTAGTGAGTTTGTTTACTTGTGGTCAGGAATGCTATTGATTTTTGAATGCTGATTTTTAATCCAACTATGCTACTGAATTTGGTTATTAAATTTAGAACTTTTTTGATTGAATTTTTGAGACCTATGTAGAGAATCATGTCATCTGCAAATAATGGTAATTTAACGTCTTCCTTTACTATCCTTATTTGAATTTTTTCTCTTGTCTAATTGCTCTGTTTGCAGAACTATATTGAATAAGAGTAGTTATAGTAGACATCCTTGTCTTGTTCCTGATTTTAGAGTGAAAGCTTTCAGTTTTTGATCATTTAGTATGATGTTGGATTGTCATAGATAGCTTTTACAAATTGAGATAAAGATCATCTAATCCAATTTTCTATAGGGTTTTTTAAAATTATGAATAGGTTCTGGACTTTGTCAAATGTTTTTTCTGCATCAATTGTGATTATCATATTTTTCTGTGCTTGAGTCTGTTAATATATTGTATTACATATAGTGTATTACATTTATTGGTCTGTGTATGTTGAACCATCCCTGCATCACTTGGATGAATCATACTGGTCATAATATGCAATCTTCTTGATGTGTGCTGCATTTTGTTGGCCAGTAAGTTATTGAAGTGTTTTGTGTTTATGTTCATTGGGGAGGTTGGCTTATAGTTTTGTTTTGATTGGATTATTCTTCTCGGAGTTTGGTATCAGGGTAATCGCTTCTAGGGGGGAATTTGAGAGTATTGCTTTCTTTCCAATTTCATTAAAGGATTTGAGAAGTAAAGGCATTTTATCTTCTGTAAATTTCTTATAGAATTCAGCAGTAAATTCATCATGGTTTTCTTTATCGTAGATTTTAATTACATTTTCAATTTCATTGACTGATATTGGTTTATTTAGAATTTTTTATCTTCTTGATTCAACTTTGATATTTCATATATCTCTCAGAACTGTGGATTTCTTCTGTGTTTTACATCTTATTAAGAGTACTAGTTCTTGAAGTAGATATTGATGATTTTCTGGATTTCTGAAGGATCTGCTGTGATTTAATCCTTTTCATTCCTAATTGTATGCATTTGAGTCTTTTCTTTCCATTTGTGGACAAGGTTGGATAGGAGTTTTTCAATTTTATTTAATCTTTCAATGGACCAATTCTTTGATTGATTGATTCTTTGTAATGTTTTGTTAGTTTCAGTGCATTAATTTCTGCTCTGATTTTTATAATTTCCTCCATCATATGAGCTTTGGACTTGACTTGCTCTTTTTTTTCCCAAAAGTTTGAGGTTTAACATTAGGTTGTTTGTTTGAGCTTGTTCTGTTTTGGTGATGTGGGAATTTACTGGTATCAATTTCTCTTGTAGAACTGCTTTCAATGCATTGCAAATTTTTGGTATGTTATATTTTCAGTATCATTTAATTGCAGAAAATCTCTAAATTCTTCTTTAATTTAATCTTTGACCCACTGGTTGTTCAGGATGGTGTTAGTTTAATTTCCATATGTTTATGAAGTTTTTGTGGTTTCTTTTGCCATTGATTTCCAATTTCATTGCACTTTGGATTGATGATATGTAGGGGATAATTTCAATATGTTTGCACTTACTTAAGTACGCTCTATACACTAGTATGTGATATATTTTGGAGATTATTCCATGTACACTTGAGAAGAATGTGTATTGTGATGTGAGGTGGAACACGAGGTAGACATGGGCAAAGTCTACTTTTCAAAAATTTGGTTCAGTTCTGATATTTCTTTGTTGATTTTTTTAATCTAGTTGATGTTTTTTATCTAGTTGATGTTTACAGTAGGATACTGAGGTATTTTACTGTAATTGTGTTAGTGCTTATTTGATTTTTCATGTTTGTTAATATTTGTTTTATACAGTGGAGTGTGCTGGTATTTGGTGCATATGTATTTTGATTATTATCTCTTCCTCTGTTCCATTCACAAGGATGTAGCGATCTTCTTTGTCTCTCTTGATTAGTCTTGGTTTGAAATCCACTTTGTTTCTATCAACTCAGCCTTTCCTCCAAATCAGTCAGTTATGTGGGATGTGGGGGGTGCACAGTGTTCTTGATTCTCAGCCCATGTGCTGGTCAGCTCATGGCTAGGGTGAATTGGCTTGTCTCTATGCCTGGGTCTTGCATGCTTTGTAAACCTAATGGGAAGGGTGAGTTGACTTTTTGCTGTACTCCTTCCAGACCTAGCATGGCTTTTGCTGACTCACAGGAAGGGCAAACTGGCTTGTTTGTTTTCCTGGGTCCCACATGGTTTGTGCAGCTCATGGGAAGGGCAAATTGACTTCTTGTTGTACTTCTGCTGACTCACCAAGAGAGACAAATTTAGTAATACACGGGGAGAGGGGATGGAAGATAAATGACTCAGGATTGGCAGAGACAAAAACACTCCAAGCCAGTCACTATTTATTGGGTGTGTGCAATGATAGGAAGGGCTAGTGGAAGACTCAATGTCATTGATTTAGCCCAGTGGATAATCAAGTAATCTTGGGGTGATTCAAGAGAGTAGAGATGGTTGTATGCTAAGAAGGATCTTGCCCTGGAGTGCTTTTTTAATCTTAGTGGTTTTAGATTAGCCTTAGTGGATGGGAGAAGACAGCCCACTTCTAAAGAATTAATGGGAAATCTCAAAATGGAGATACTCAGTGCCCCAAGCTTCCATTTTTCCTTTAGGAAAGTGTGCAAAACAAGCTTTTGTGACTTTTTGGTCCTCAAACTATTCAATAAAATAGAATGATACATAGATCTTCCAAAATCATACATAGCAATATTCACCTACTACCAAAGCCAGCATTTGTTGAGGGGCAAGAGGGAACCTGAGCTGTGGCCTCCCTTAAGGGACAGCAAAGTTCCAAAAGTCTCTCCTGTTTTTTAGGCACCTGCCACAAGGGGTCCAAGAAAGGACAGGTGATGGCTGCCAAAGGAGTGGAGTCATATAGAAGAAAACCTTCACATCTTTGCTGTCCTGTGGACATCTGACTGGCTATCTGTGCCCTAACAGCACTAAAACTGGCTCGTATTAATTATATTCACCAGTAATGCAGAACTGATGGGATGATGAATGGACAGACAGTCAGACAGACAGACAAAGAAGTTGTTCATTAGAGAAAATGGCTCACAGGATTATCAAAGCCAAAGGGTCTTGCATGGGAACGACAGGCCCTCTGCAAGCTGAAGATCAGGGCATACTGGTCTCTGGCTTAGTCCAAGTCTAAAAGACTCAGAACCAGGGGAGCTGATGATATAATTCTCAGTTTGAATCCAAATGCTTAGGAAAACAGAGAACTATTGATGGAAATCCTGAACTCTGAAGGCTTGGAAGCTTGGAACTCTGATGTCCAAGAGCAGGAGGAGAAGAATGTCTCAGCTCTGGCTGGGGGATCCTTATTTTTTGTTCTATTCAGGCACCCTGGATGTTTCACGGCCACTCTGAAAGTGGCTCTTTTCAAACCCAGTCCACTGACTCACCCACCAATGTTCTCTGGAAATACTTTCTCAGACATATCTAGAAGTAATGCTTTACAAAGCTAGCTATCTTTTTATTCCTTAATTTAATTGAAATGACATCTGTGAAACTCCAATGGCTTGCTGTCCTAGTGTCACTTGTGTGCTACGTCCTGGAATTTCATTCAGTGCTTTTCTGGACCCACATGGGGCCATCCAGAAACAGAGGCATTAAGCACAAAGACCCAGAGTCTGGACTTCAGAAGTAACATGGACAGACCCAGTTCCATTTCCAGCTGTCACTTACTAACCGTGTGACCTTGATCGATGTCCTTTAGCTCTTTTGTGGCATTTTTGTCAAATAGGATTTATATTTCTTTTTGCTGGGATGATCAGTTTTCATTATTGCTCTTTATTACGTAGTAATGAATTTAATCTTGCTTAATCCACATTCATGTTCCCCTTTTTTAATGGGAAATCAGAAGTGACAGCAAAAAAAATTAGTTTTCATGATGATAAAGAGGCACCAAATGCGAAAGGGGCTCACTTTCTAATGTTAACTACTCTTACTTAGTCCTTCAGTGTCCCAAAGCTTATTCTTTGGACATCTCTGATCCTATAACTAGGCTCTGAAAATCCTGTGATTCACAAGCTCTTATTTTGATAATGCCAAAAAAATTGTTCAGGGCAAGGGCATGAGAAGAAAAGAAAGAGGAATTGTTGGGAGATCTGTATTGAGAAGTGTCCCTGAAGTTACTGGACATCATTGCACTGCGCTGCCCTAGTATAAAGGACATTATACTAAGAGTGAAAGGAGAGCTCCCTAAGGAGTCACATGAACTGCTCACTCCTAGTTGTTTCCTATTGGCCTCGAAAATATTATCCTGCAAAACTCCAATCCTTCCTCACCAAGGTTAGTGATTTTCCTTAATCTGTGTGATCAAGAGAGCCATCTCTGTTCTACTCAGCCCTGATTCCTCTTCTTGAGGGTCACATGATTTTCTGCATATCCACTTTGTTATATTCTGTGTTACCTGGGCAAGAACGTGTTTCATTTTTTCAGATCCCTTTCTTTTATTTCTCTTTCCTTTTTCCCTTTCCTTTCTTTCTTTCTTTCTTTCTTTCTTTCTTTCTTTCTTTCTTTCTTTCTTTCTTTCTTTCTTTCCTTCCTTCCTTCCTTCCTTCCTTCCTTCCTTCCTTCCTTCCTTCCTTCTTCTCTTTCTCTTTCTCTCTCTTTTTTAAAAATCAACTGAGACATACCACTTCTTCCTGAAAAGAAGTTGGAAAGAGAATAAACAAGTGATTATTGTCTAATCAAGCACTAGTGTTACAATTTTAAGTGACTGAAAATGTGTTTTGTATAGGATTTTGCTCCCAGATCCAGAAAGGATGCAACTGACAGTCTTAAAACATTATGACATTATGTCTCTTTAGTCTCTACCAATCTAGAACATTTCCACAGCTTTTTTATTTTTTCATGCATCATTGGAATTTTAATTTATTTTTAAATTATCATCATCATTGTCATGTTCTCTCTCTCTCTCTCTCTCTCTCTCTCTCTGTGTGTGTGTGTGTGTGTGTGTGTGTGTGTATATGTTAATAAGGTTTGAATTCAAACATTATATATGCTAGGCAAGCACTTTGCAAACTGCTCTCATTTTCACTTTAGACTGTTATTCCTCTGGCTCCTTTCTCATTTTGGCCTACCTGATGTTGCACAGAGATTCCCAGCAAGAAAAGTACATTAAGCTGAGGCTTATAATGACCACCTGCTCCTCACTGATGGTGTCCATTTTTATTTATCGAGTTGAAGCGCTATCCTGTTTGTCTTTCTGAAGTTTTCCCCTTGCACCTAACAAATAGTTTTTGGGGAGACATATCAAGACATGTTGCACACACAACTTTCACCCTGGCTTTACTCCATCAATGCCTAAACCACTCTTTCCCATGAAGGTAAGAGTGTCCGCATCCCACCTCCAGCACTTTCTGAATATTTGCCACTTGGCATTTCACTTCATTTGTAAGCAGGCATCCTCTTTTCTCTTTTGTATAAACTTTTGTGTCAATCTAACTTAATATCATATATTTTAACCCCCAAAAGACATCTTTCCACTTACATCCACTTTTGTGTGTTCAGGAGTGTTTTAAAGTTTATTTTTATAGACTTTGAACATTTTTTTTTGTTTTATTCCAAATTATCTGATGTCTTAATGCTCTTTAATTTTTTCCTATTCAGTGTTGTCTCCAAACATAGCTATAAAAATAGTTTCCAATATTTGGGATATAGTATTACTGACCTTTGTAGGTACATTTTATATCATATTATGTTCTTGAGTTATTTTTATTATTTATTCTTTAGTGTTTTCTGATATATTATAATGTTATATATCAGTTTATATTTCCTTATGTTCTTATATTTTTTTGTATAATATAATGTTCTGTATATTTGTATAATATAATGTTCTTATATTTTTTGTGCATTTGAAATATATAGGTAATGCCCTCCAACAATGTTAAGCAAGGGGCTTTCTTGCCTTGTTCCTGATATCATTTTGGTTACTTCTAATGTTTGCTCATTAAATAAGATCCTGGGTTTAGATTCAGGTAAATATATCTTTAACATGTTAAGGAAGAGCCTATGAATTCCTATTTTCCCAAGAGATTAAAAAAAAATAACAGTTCCCACAAAGATGCTTTCAACATCTGTGAAAGTAATCATATTTATCTCTTTAATCTTATTTAACATGGCAAATTACATTAACATATTTTGCACTATTAAGCCCTCCTCAAATCCTTGGTATAAGCCACGCCTGATCATAGTGTATTTAGATTACTTATTAATCTTGACTGATCAAACCATTCCTGTGTCCCACATGGTTTCTTTGACCAAGCTTTTTCTAAATTTAGACCTTACTGTGATAGTCATTACGTTAAAAACCTCCTGCTCTGGTTACTCCAGAGTCAGTTGTTAAATGCAGAGGTACAGAGATTTATGAGGAAGATACACACACACACACACACACACACACACACAGAGTGAGAGAGGAGAGAGAGAGAGAGAGAGAGAGAGAGAGAGAGAGAGAGAGAGAGAGCAAGAGCGCGAGCATTTTCTCCAGGTTTGAGAAATGTCATGTCACAGGGCATAGTCATATCCTATAACAACATCTTACCATCTGCAATGAAAGAATTCATTGCAAGTGATCAAATTCATGCTCTGAGGTGTGTATACAATAACATAAATGTGTATGCTGCTTTGAAATGAGAACTTTGCACAGTAGTTTCTAATGTTTTAATTCCAGTGTTTCCTAGCTCAGAAAATGAGTTAGTTAGTTGACCAAATGATTACTTTTCCTTCCAATCCTGTGAGAATCTCATTTTTTCAAGTTCTTCTGTTCATCTATGTGTTTACACCATTCATTTTCCACATAGTGCTGGAGTTGTCACTTTCTTTGTGTTAAGACATTTAGTGCTATTTTAGGGTGTGCCTCAGTCTTTAAAAAGGAGGACAGGCATGGAAGAAAACGATGAAATAATATGAGATGAAGACTATAAATATGTGATGGAGTCCCAGTGTTTCATATGCATTATGAAAAAAAGTAAAGACAGAGTTGAGGTAGAGGCTTTAAAATAAAACAGATTAAGGAAGTGCTCTGTCTTCCTTCATTTCTACTTCTCCCATACATTAAAATGTCTTTTAAACCAGGTATGATGACACATGCCTCTAATCCCAGCACTTAGAGGCTGAGGCAGGAGTATCACCATGAGTTCAAGGCCACCCTTGACTACATAGTGAGTTTAAGGCCAGTCTGAACTACACAGTGAGACTCTGTCTCAAAAAAAAATGCTTAGAATTTTATTCAAGCACCATTCATTTAGTCAATATGTAAGCCTTATTGTTTTGGGTGGGTATAACAGAATGCTTAAGACTAAAGCAAAAGAAGGTGTGAAATAAGATAGAAAAAATTAAAGTAGAAAATTAAATTAAAATTTTAATGCATTAAAAATTAAATTAAGAAACTGATTCTCTATTTTTTGGTCTCTTTTATTACCTTAAAACTCTGGTCAAATCTCTGTTCAGCTCTGCACATAGGCATGCCACTTAAAGAGAATCCATGATAAAAGATTTATTAGTCCTAAATTTACCTCATGTATCTCATTCCCTTTGAAGACTGAAGATACCAAGACAAGAGTGACTAAAGTAATTTTCAGAATTTGCAGAGACATTCAATTGCCAGCTTTTACAATATCCACTTCTGGACCCCTGGATGCCTAGCAGTCTCTATTCATTGTCCTAACCCTACAGTCCCCTCAGGTTCTAGGAAAAGCAGAGCTTTACAGATCATCTCATCATGAGATGACCTCTATCGGGGTCTGTGCTAGATCCCTGGTCTCCCAAATGAGTGTACAGCGTAGATTAAATAAAAAGAGACAAATTGTATGATTTTTAGGGCTCCAGGAGGGTCAAAACTCTTTTATTAAGCTTGAGGCTTCAAGGGTAAAGACAAAGGATTCTCTGGATCATTCCACTTATATTAGGATCAAGGACAAAGGGTGAAGAGACTGAGGAAAGCGCAGGCAATGAGCAGGACCTTGGGAGTCAATTCAGAGACATCTCCAAGTCATGAATCAAGTTAATTTAGTAGCACTGTCTTATGATGATGACATCATAGAAGTGAGACTGTAGGAGTAATCTTTGCAGCTGCAGTCTCTACCTTGTTAATTGGGGTTGGAATCAGAGTGTCCGCAGCTGGGGCCTTATCTTACCCTTTGAGATATCTCTGCCTCATAGGCCACTACAGGCCTCAGCCAGGTCCAGTGATTCATAGAGGTTCACTTACTATGAATCAGCTCCCGTCACCAAGCAAGGGGCCTAGGCCTAGGACAGATTCACAGATAAACATATAAAGCCAATTAGTAAAATTTAAATCCTGCTCAGAGCTGCTTCATAGTGGTCTCTAACAGACCTCCTCCAAGTGGAACCATTGCTCCACAGTGAGAACCAAGGCTGCTCCCTTCTAACAAAGAACAATTTCCTAGGTGCCAAATTGCCCCCTCGAACCATAAGGATTCCTCAGATCTACAAACCCAGAACTGAGTCAAATTTTCATGGACCCTGGCCCAGCCCCGCTGACACATAAAAGCTGGCCTTATTCTTATGTGAGCAGGCCAGTCAGAACTTGAGCAGAGTGAGCCTCTTCAGATATTCAAGCTAGAGTCTCTCCCCACTTGCCACCACTTTCTAACTTTGCCTAATGAATCTGCCTATGCCTCACACTGATGCCTCCTGAGGATCTTTTCCCATGGCAAGAGTGGAAAATTTACTTGGTGGGAGAAATTGAGGTATGCACCTCCTTTTTGGGGGTACTACTCTGGTGTCTTAGTCACTTTCTTACCATTGGAATAAAGTACCCAACAGCCACCTACTTGTTTTGGGTTATGTGTTTTTTAAGAGGTTTCAGCCTAGGTTGGCTCAAGATGGAAACAGCTTGGTAGAAGCTGCTCATGTTGTCATGGCCTGGAAGCAGAGAGAAAAGGCAGAGGAGAGGAGACAGGGAGAAAGATACATTCTTCCAGGTCACATCACCAATGCTTTGCCTCCAACCAGGCCCCACTTCCTAACAGCAAGTCAGAAATAAGTTCCCAAAGCCCCTCCTTTGAACCCCTGAGGCTTTTGGGGGACATTCTCCATCTAAAGCATAGTATGTGGTTGTCCTATTGACAAACTCATGGTTCAAGAGTGGGCAGCTACAGCTGGTGAGGGCTTCAAGCTGTGTCAAACAGAAAGATAGCATCGCGGAGCAGGGGACATGTGGGAGTGACAAGCAGGCACACAAGGAAGGGAGGAGGGAACAAAAAGATGGTATGCTTTATAACAACCTCTTCTAGAGAGAACTGATCCATTCCAGGGAAAAC